CAATTGCGACGAACAGTCCAGATTTGCCCATGCAATCGACTTAAACAGGTAAAGATTGGACGACCCTCCTTGCTCTACGTCGATGCGAATGGACAATTCAGATCAACGCAAGAAGAGTATAAATACCTCGCGTCACAGAGGAACTCAAACCCTAGCCTCTAGCCCCTGCCAGAGAAGAAGAACATGACGCCGGAAAAGAAAGTCACTTGTCAACCGCCAAAAAAAGATAAAATTTATCCCTATTTACTTGAAATTCAATTCCAAACCTCCTTGTGGCCATATAGGGGCAAGAGGGATGGCGGGTGAGCTGAGAACTGCAGACAAAGGCTGGCAGAGCCGCCGCGACCAAAATCCAAAAATTCCTCCGATGAACCCCTTCTCACTTTTCATTTTATGTGATTTTTTTTTTATCGTTGTGTTCACCATCCTTTTATGTGCAAGTTAGTCAAAGAAAGAACCCCAGCCACGAAGGAGGACTGACAAAGCCGTTGTACCCAGAGAACCCCCCGCTAGTAGGTTCAAATTTTTGTATTTTTTTGGCCAACCGAGGCTCTCTAACATGTTTTTTCATAGGGATACATATAAAATCGGCTAAAACAGACCAGATTGGGGTAAACTGCCGTCGTGGGTGACAGAATCGCACTGGAGCACGATGGCATCGCTGTGCTGGAACTCCAAAATTGGCCAGAAAGAGTTTTGGACACCGATTTTAGATTTTTGAGATATTTTTAGGTACGTAACAAGTGTTTTAGATTCCATAGAAAAAATTCAATAAATCTGAAACCCGTTAAGAGATGTAGTAGACAGCACGACATCTCAAAATACCAATACGGGTAAGGATCTCTTACCCTGTTCTTCTTTACGATAAAATGAGAGTTAATGATGTATAATTTTGTGTTTTTGAAATTTTTTTAAAAATTCTAAAAATAATTAGAGGTCATTAGTAAAGTCGGAATCGGTTAGTTTTAATTATCCTGATTTCTTGTTTATTTTTTTGTACTATCCTATTTACTTGTTATCATATTGTGCATGTTCTTAATTTATAGTTTTTATAGTTTTATCGATTTATCTAATTTATTCGGGTATCTGGTTACTCGATCTCTTATTATGATAAGCTATATCGTCTATATAAATATCATGTAATTGATCTGTAAATATAATATGAGATATTGGTATGCGTTTATTGGTTATTTTATTGATAAAAATCTTTATCTAAAAGCCTTACTAGGTACCCAAGGAAAGGGCGGACGGGCTTGATTCACAGGGAAACCCTACATTGAACGTTACCTCAGTCGAAAAGGGCTGTAAAATCCCTTACTGAAAAAGTTCGGGAGATATGGTTCACTCTCATACCAGACGAGATATCGAGGCGATGACATATTTGGCACCTATTACTGGACGG